ATAAATAATAATAAAAGAAGAACAAATAAAATTATAAGAAAATAATGAATTAAAAATATTAATAATCTAAATTAATAATTATGACACACATGATGATCATCTGAGTAACAATGTGTTAAATGTATTAAATCTAGATATATTAAATATATAATGATTATCTGTGTATTCAGAGTGAATTAATCTTCTTAAAAATATAATACAAAGCTAATCTGTTATATAAATAGTGCAAAATAAAGATCTAAGCTAAAAGAAATCTAAAAAAAGATAACCTAATCAAAATTATTACAATCAATTTTAAATTATATAATTTTTTATATATCTTTCTTTTATTTGTTATTATTATTTTTAAATTTAATTTTATATTATATTAATATTATTAGATAAGTGATAAATAAAAGAGAATATTTAATTTAATATTTTATCTTTTTTATTATTATTTTATTTAATTAATAATAAATATTTCAAATTAATAGATAAATAAGCTTTTTTTATAGATTAAAAAGAATTATTTATCTTTAATAATATTATTTTGAAGTACTTTATATGTAAATAATTCTAATAGTATATATATTTTATTATTTATTCAATATAATATAATATCTTTAAAGTATTTTATATAAAGTTTTATTAAATTATTTTACTATTTTATTAGTTTATAAATAATATAATAATGAAAACTTATATTTAATTCCAAATCAAGTGATAAATTCTTTAATTATTTGTGTTATAAATTTAATTTCTTGATTTAATTATAATTTTTTAAAATATTTATATCTATAAATTATTTTTTTAAAAATAAATTTGATAATAATACTAGCCTTTTTATTTGAAATTACTTTACTTTAGATTATTTAATTAATAAATTAATTATTATAATAATATATTAATTTTATTTTCTTATTATTTTATAAGATTTAATAAATTAATTATAATTTTATTAAAAGATTATCTAATTTTAATAAAATATAAAGATTATTTTATAATTTATCCATTAGTTCTTTAATAAATTTTACAAGATTTAATAAAATTCTTTATATCAGTTCTCATTTTATTTTATAAAATATCTATTAGTTATTTATTAATAAATTTTATTAAATTCAAAATATTTAGTAAGTAAATTTAAATATATATTAGTTAGTATTATTTCAATTTTATTTTCTTTTAATATTTAAAATAATATAATAAATTCTTTTTTTCTATTCTTTTTATAAAATATTTTATTAATTATTAAAAAATATTTTAATTATTAATAAATTTTCTTTTATTACTTTTTAATAAATCTTATAGAATAACTTTTATTTTTTAGATATCTTATTAAATTATTAAATATATTATATTAAATCAATTATATTTGGATAATCTATTTAATTAATTATCTATAAATATTATTTCAAAGAATTTATTTAATTAATAAGTTTATCTTTCTATTTTTGAGAATATATTCTTGAGAAAGTATTTGTATTTTAATTAATTTTTTCAGCTTGATAAGTAATAATAAAATTATATGTTATTATGATCATTATCTAATAAGAAATTCTAGATTAAGAATTAACTTATTTAATAAATAGTTATTAAAGTGTATTATAATTAATAATGATTTCAAAAAGTAATCTAAACTTTTTTTTTAGTAATATTATAATTCTTTTTAGCTAACTTAAGTAAAATACTTATATATATTATTACTTATTCTTTTTCTTTATTATCTTTTTAAGATAAAGTCAAGATTAGAATAAAGATAAGATTTCCTTTTAAAGTTTAAAATATATTCTTTTAATTTATAATCTAAATAAAAATAAAATTATTCTTTAAAAATTTAAATAAAGATGCTATTATTTGAGAGAATTCTAAGTTTTTTTATAATTATTAGGATAGAAAATTCTTGAATCTGTTAAATTATTAAAGAATTAAATAAATTTCATCTTAAATAATTAGATATTTAAGAAAGAATAAATTATCTTAAGTAAAATTATATTTTTCTAAATTAAATTTTAATTTAGCTTTTCTAATTTATTAAAAAATTTTTTATAAATATGATGAATATTCTTTCTAAGTTTTTAAATAAATATTAATATTATTAATATAAACTATAATAAACTTCTAATTATTATTTTTAAGTATACTATTATAAAATTATAGATGTATTATAAAATTTAAAAGATATTATTTTGAATTTATATAATTCTTTTCTTGATATAAAAATAATTTTCTTTATACTAGATAATTTTATTTTAATTTATCAATAATCAAAGATAAAATCTATAAATGAAAATTATTTTGTATCTTCAAGATAATCTATTATTTTATTAATTTATAATAAAAAATAGATATTCTTTTTAATAAGAGTATTAAGTTTTTTATAGTTAATATAAAATTATTTCTTATTATTTTTTTAGCTATTACTATAATTGATGAAATTCAGAAACTATTAGATTTTTAAATAATAATCTGTATCTAATATTTATTGAATTTTATCATGAATAAATTCTTAATCTGAAATAGTTATTTTATAAACTTTTTGATAAATAGATTTTCATTTTTAGTATTAATTAAATATTGAATAATATTGATATATTCAAATTTATTTAGATCTAATATAAAAATATTCTTATAAACTTATAATAGATTATGTAAAATATCTTGTTATCTAATAGTTAATTTTCTTTATTTAATTATTTTTTTAATTTTCTCTTTATCTAGAAAGTATATTTCTATTTATTCTTTTTAGTAGATTTAAATTCTTGAGTTCTATAAAATAATTCTTCTAATTCTTCTCTATTATCTATAGAATATATTTTATCAATTTATCTGGTGGATAAAGTGCAGATAAGTTGTCTTTCAATTTTTTTATTTTCACAATTTCTCAAACCGGAATTATTAAATTTCTCTTGCCGTTACATCAACTATGGACGTGGCGCACATCCCATTGCAAAGGACAAAATCAATCGCAACAACTTTTGCTATAAAGACCATGAGTTTGTGATACTAACTGAAGATATATATATATTTGAAAATATTGCGCTAAGTCCTTATTATGGATATACAAGCATTCAAAGCTGGTGGCTCCGGATCTTGGGCGATGTTTATTTGACTTTCGGTCAAGGACTTGAGTAGCAATAATTATTATTGAAATAATACACATGTACATTGTTTCTAATGATTCTATATTATCAATGTTATCAAATCTTTTTCATTTTTTTCATCAATAGCATTATTTCCAAAAATTGCCCAAACTGTGGTTTCTAACTTTCGAAGTTTTAAATCCATAATAAATGACTTATTTTTGTATGATGCTTGTGTGATAGTGTTTTCGTACACTTTTTGCACTTTCAATAAGTTTTCAGTCAAATATTTGACCCGTTGCCGTCGAGATGGGTGCATTGCTAAAGTGGCCTCTCCATCATGTCGAACACCATGCCCATCATTTTGATTTTTACAATAAGATGGTAATGGTTGTTCTTCAATATTGCTTGAAGATGAATTAGATAATTTTTCCAGATTGACCATTAATTGCCAAAGCTCTAATGCACCGGCAGGATCATATCCTGCACGTGCCATAATTTCCTGGCCTATAATGTCTGCTTCTCGTTCGAGTGTTTGTGAATGATATTGAAGAAAAAGTAGTGGTCTTCGCCATTCACCAGTATTATTATTATAACCAAATAATTTTTTCAATACATTTGGAATCAAAGAATTTGTGATTTCGCCTAAATGCGCAAGGACTTTCATTAAATAGGACATCCCATAAAATTCAGCTGCATGATCTTGCATTATATGAGCAAGCTCATGGGCGATGACGGCGGCCAACAGGCTTTCATCGTAATCAATAATTCTTAACCATCCGGTTGTCAATGTTATATCTGATGATGGATATGCCACGCCGTCAAGAAAATCATCATCATCGATCAAATAGATTTTTGGTTCAATGCTATGAAATTCACGGTCTTGCTCCAAGACCCCGTTTTGCCATAACCGTTTACAGACATGATTTACTAACTGACTACGTGGATCATATATGGATACACTATTAGAAGAGTCTTTAACTTGTTGTACACAATTTTTAGAGGTTTCTTCGAGTTTCTTCCGTTCCCAAGGCCAAAGTAACATGTGTCGTCTACGATAAGTATTTGGTGCTGTTTCTGAAGTAAGAAAATATATAGTAGGAATGGCGAGCAAGAATGAAACAAGAACTTTGGTAATTTTCGTACGCGTGGATGGTGGAAAAATTCGAGTAGCAGCCAATCTTATCAATAGAAAGTATGGAATACATAATGGAATAGCAAAAAGGATTGTGGGTAGGATAGGAATCAATGTGATAGGAGTTGATTGAAATTGACGTTTATTATTATAATAAATATTTGATTTTCGTGGAAGGCTCACGAATTTTTGCAATTTGACATTATCCACGTTACTTGCAATTTGAAGAGTTAATAGTGATCTTCTCTGAGAATTATTATTAATACGAAATAAACTAGAAAAAGTATTACCTTTTTCTAGTTGGTACCCGAAATAGGGTATTGTTTTATTATAACTGTTTTTATAGTTGCATATCAATTCTACATTTGTTGTAGAAATTGAAAACTGTCGAAATAAATATTTAGAACAAATCGAACTATGTATTAAACGACTGGATCTCTGCATATTTCTTATATTCTATTACCTTTTTTTTTTTTACCGCCTATTTATATCGTTTTCCGAAGGAAGATGGAAAAAAATTTCTGATCTGTTTATATGTCGTAATCCGTCGTTATTTACACACTTTGACAGGTGCATATTAAATGCATGTGTCAGCTTTTATTAGTCGAATGATTGATGACGTACAAAGGAGTTTTTTTTGGTTACATCCCCCAAATCAGATCAGGTTAAAATTGTAATAACGCCAATTCCAAGATGAATACATCACGAAACTCTAATACACCAATAGCAATATCTAGAGATATTTTCATACCCTCGATATATGATGGAATTCTTCTAGAAGCTAGAGTTACATACTTTAGAAATCCCAAAGTTATTAAGGTTAGCGAGCTGCAACCTGTAAATTCTGTTGTTATTTCTCATCCATATGGGCCGTTAGGTAAGAGTTAAAAAAGAAAAAAGACATGATAGCTATCCTTATGTGTATGTCTTTAGATCAGACTAAAAATTGAAATCTTTAGGCATCTAAAATTTGTTTAATTATGTATATAGGAGGAAACAATGAAAATAATGTAGTTATAGCACTCGAACATTTCTTTTTACGGCGAGGATATCTCACTGTTGCTTTTAATTTTCGGTAACAATTCGAAATCTTTGATACATACTGGAAATCATAATTTTAATATATCATTTCGAAAAACAGAGGATCCGGTAAATCACAAGGTCGTAATACTTGGAGTGGAGAAGCCGAAGCAGGAGACTATAATACAATGCTCCAATTTCTAGCTAATTGTGGCAAAGATCTCAACAGCAGTCGAATAATAATGGAAATACCACCAATTAAAGAAACAATAGTAGCAGTAAGTAACAGGAAAAAAAAGGAAAGTTTTGAATATCTCAAATTTAACACGTTACTAAATTCAGGGTTACAGCTACGGTTCGCTGATTGCCACTACACTCTCATCCATCACAAATACCTCCAACACATCACCATTCCCGTTCCCGATATCATTTATATTAATAAGTTACCCATTATCCGTAATTTGGTTTCTGACTTTTTTCCGTGGCTCGAAATACTCTCAACACATGAAATCGTTACTTGACAATAATAATAATTGCCGGGTATTGTTCGTTTATGGAACATCGGATCAATTTACAGGTGTTAATGCATATAAGAAATGGATCAGGGAGAGTAAAGTTGAAGAAAGAAGTATGTGGAGTTTAAGGGAGTTATCTGGTGTGGATCATTTTTTTTTCGGTGAAGGGATGGAGGAGAAATTGTTACATGTTTTAGAAGAGTGGATTGTTGGAGATGGGAATGATGTTACATAATAATGTAATTATATAACAATATAATTTATTTATTTTATGAAAAGAATGCATATATTATTCTAATTGATTTGTAATATCCATTAATAATTGCGCTTGATTAGTTACTTGTTATTAACTCGAAAAATATTCCGCATTTTTTAATTGATTAATTTCGGAGAAACGCAATAATGATTTTTTTTAATATCACATTTGGCTTCTACATACGGGAGCTGAATAGAAAAATGGTTTATTTAATTCATATTCAAATATAAAAGTAACTAGGGTTTACGATTTGCGATTCCGATACGTTCTCGAAAAGTTTATTCTTGCAAAAATATCAATCCGTTTTCCGCTTATCTCGCATATTCAGCCATAAAATTGTATTTAAGGTGTTTAGGATAATTTGATGACAACAATTGTCTTTGTCAATAACACCAGAATAACACTGTCCGCAACCATTTGAACTCCAAGGACATCTTCGTCTTTAGATTCTCCTATAATGTCAACAATAGTTTGTTTACCGAAATCACGTTTAGTTTGGTCTTCAATATGCCAATAAATAAAAGCACGATGGGTTCTTTCAAGGACCATAATAAATCTATTTAAAGGGTCATGAAATAAATGACGTTTTTCACGTTTAGAAGCTTGAACAAATCCAAAAGCATCAAATGTTGACACATGAGTAACAGTGATTGGTGGAAATCCAGATGAATGTTGAAATTCATATACTAAACCATCGACATCATATTTAAGACAAACAGATGGGAATCTATTAATTGATGATTCAATGTCTTTTCTCCCAAAACATTCGAATTGTGGACAAAGAAATTCATGACTACCACCCGCAAATTTAGCCGTAATGTTTCCTTGTTTTTCGATCCAAAAAAACTTCACATATCGTCCTTCATAGTCAATAGACTCCTCTATTTCATGTCCTATTGGATGATGAAGAGTCGAAGCAAATGGTTGTCCATCAGTAGAACTAGATGTAAATTTCTCGAGACGTTCTCGAAATTCAGCAATCTCATTTGGGTCAAGAGTTTCCAAAACTCCATCATCATGTTTGAATACGTGCATCCAACGTGTTCCCCTGTTCTGCTTTTCAAGATATAGTGTAAGTAATCCTATTTTTGACTCGATGGTCCAGAGAGAAGCAGAAGGGTCGATTTCATCATGTAAATTAGTGAAAGCATAGCAAGGAATGGATGGAGATTTCGATGTTGAACTAGGTTCACTTGAAGAAGATTCTGAAGAATTACCCGGTAATTTTATAGTCAATGAAAGATGTGTCTTGGAAAAACTACAATGAACTGCAGTCTTCGGTGTTCCAGGTGGCAATTGAAAATTGATGGAAACATCAGAATCTGTCTGTGTCCATAAATAAGGCGGAGAAGATTCATCCTTTGTTTCTTCTTCTTTTTTTATATTTTCATCACACTGTTTTTCTTCCAAAATTTCTTGTTCTTTTTCTGATGTCGATATATTGGCATTATTTAAAGATAATACCGAATATTCACCAGTACATCCAATAATATACCCTTCCCCTTTCATGTCAAGGGCACAATATAATGGAATATCGGGTCCTCGAAGAACATGTTTCACTTCAGCACCTGATGATGAAGCATCCAGAGACATTTGCAGAAGGGTGACATCAAATAATTTCTTGCTTGTTTTTTGCGACGAAGTTGATAATGAGGATGACGAAGAATATTTGGAAACTAGAACATTATATACGATAAAATAAATTTGCGCAGATTCACCCTCGTCAATAATTTTGCCATCTAAAAGAACACAGGGTGTAATTACGGTCTTTTTAATTGCAGCATCATCGCCCACTTCAGAATATCCATAAAAGTTAATATTTTTGATAATCTCTGCAGTTACAACTTGACTTTCTACGTTTCTGGATATTTTTAATAGATAAATGTTTCCCAGGCCATTGGATGCCAATAACAATGTTGCGGAAAGAGCTCTTAAAGAAGGATAACAGGAACTAGATACGGATCCACTTATCGTTGTTGATTTTGGTAATTTAATAAGAGGATGCATGATTATAGAATCCTTTATCTTCATAAATCGTTGATTTAGTAACGCTCAAAATTTTAAGGAAAAACAGTATAAACCTATATAATCACTACCAGGTCATATTCTACAAGAATTATCTGAAGCTCCGAGTCAAAATAAAGTGCGTTTCCAATATCCGCTGTAAAGCCAGCGAATAAATGATTGTAATGTACTAGGCTATGCATTTCATTGTAAGATAAATTTGCATTTACAGGAACCTTTGGAATATTAATTCCAGGCTCAGGAAGTGGAACGCGAAGAAGGTGTTTCTCATCATCAAATATATTGAGACGGTAACCCTCAAACTTTGGATTAAGTAGATTTCGATTGGGTTTTATAACAGACGTGAAGATTGACATTGTTGAGATGTTAATTTTCCAAATCTGAAATCTCTAAATTTTTGATCACAAAAAAAATTTCAGCAAATTCAAAATTTCTTTGCCAAAAATGAAAGAAAATAATGTTCCAGAAACGGTAAAGCAAGCTGTTTTAACTCAATCAACGCCTATGTCTGCGGACGCTATAAAGGTCATCGGGCCTGACTTTAATAAGAAACTTGATTTGTCCGATATTATTGGAAGTTATGCACAAATGGGTTTTCAGGCGACCAATGTGGGCCAAGGAATTGAAATAATCAATAAAATGGTATTTTACATAAAAAATCCCAAATAAAATAAAGCCCCGGTTAATAAATATTTTAATTGCTCGATTATTTAAAGAGAAAATGGCGTCTCTCTGATGATCCTATACTGTCTGACGAGACTGATGAATATAAGGACATTGAGAAGCGTGCTACTACAAAATGCAAAATATTTTTCGGTTATACTTCTAATCTAGTGTCTTCTGGTCTCCGGGAAATTTTTCGATTTCTCGTGCAACATTCGCTGGTTGATGTAATTGTAACTACTGCAGGTGGTGTAGAAGAGGATATAATAAAGTGTTTAGCAGATACTTACATAGGAGACTTTAGTTTAAAAGGAGCGACTCTGAGGGATCATGGACTGAATCGTGTAGGGAACTTGCTAATACCTAATCAAAATTATTGTTCATTTGAGGATTGGGTTTCACCGATTTTATATCGTCTGGTAGCAGAGCAAAAAGAAGAGGTGAATAAATGGTGTTGAACTAAGAAAATGCTTTTGATGCTAATCTCTAAACACGCATATTTTAGGGTGTAATATGGTCACCTTCTAAAATCATACATAGGTTGGGTAAAGAAATCAATAACCCCGAATCCATTTATTATTGGGCTTACAAGGTATGATTAATCAATCTTTATTAATTTTACAATTAATGCGCATGTTCTAAATTTTTTTTATGATTTTTATCAAAGAATGATATTCCAGTGTATTGCCCAGCATTAACTGATGGATCGCTTGGGGATATGATCTATTTTCATTCTTTTAAAGATCCAGGCCTTATTATTGATATTGTGTCCGACATCCGAGCTTTAAATGATCAAGCAGTATTTGCAAAAAAGACCGGGATAATAATATTAGGAGGAGGCGTTGTGAAACATCATATATGTAATGCTAATCTCATGGTATCTATAAATCATAATATAATAGTGTTCATTTACTATTGTAAATCGATTACAAGTTTTTATAATGTTTATAATGTATAAATAGAGGAACGGTGCAGATTACGCGGTATATATTAATACTGGTCAGGAATTTGATGGAAGTGATGCTGGTGCAAGACCTGATGAGGCGGTTAGTTGGGGTAAAATACGAGCCGATGGCGAAATGATTAAGGTAAATTTTAAATTTTTCTTGTTATCCAATGCCTACAATGTATTAATAGTCATCAAAAAAAAAACATGCTTAGATTTATGCGGACGCAACAATAGTTTTTCCGCTTATAGTAGCTGAGACTTTTGCCAAAAATTTTCAGAATTCTTGAATAAAAATCAATTTATTCTTGTTCGATGTTTTTTATGTCGCGCGTCTCAAGATATAATAAATATAGAGCACGCTGGAACACGAGTTTAGGAAGTCTGCTTTTTTCTTTTGTGGTGAAGCATTACCGAGTAAAATTTCACTAAAAATGACTCGAGCAATGCATTCAGTTTATATATAAAATGTTGGGGATATCTGAACCCGAGGTTTGACATTCAAAGCCTAGTATTCCAAGTACTACCTTTTTTTCAGACGAAAGAAAAAAAACTATCAATCTAAGAGAATTACAACAAATACGCGCTACTGGCTTGAAGATTTGACACATTATTGAAATTGGATGAATATAACTACAAAAATTTTATTGATGACGTAATAAACCTTGTCCTTGAGGTTAACTTTTGTTCGTTATCGTTATGGAGTCCGTTGAAGAAACTTCGGCTACACCTATAATTTCAAACAGTGGCAAAAATTCAAATGTACGAATTCTCACTTTCAATTTCTTTATGCGACCTCCACTCGTTCGTAATAATGCAAGTGATTATAAAGAAGCACGTCTCGAATATTTTATACAAAAAATTTTGCCAAATTATGACATCATATGTTTGCAAGAAATGTTTCACTTTGGAAGTAGTAGAAGGAATAGGCTATTAGAGGCTGCATTTAAAATTGGTTTCAAATTTTCATGGGCTTCACCTGTCAAAAGTATCTTGAGTGGTAGTATTGATGGTGGTTTAGTACTTTTAAGTAAATTTCCCTTACATGAACGCGAGGTTACCGTGTATCCGATAGGCTGCTATAGTGATAGGTAAGTTGATTATCTTTTTTAAAAGTAGAATTTTATTATATTATATCATGAAATTAGTTCAGTTCATTCGGAAAAAATATCTTTACAAAGGTTTTCAGATAAAGGTGCGCTTTACGCTAAAATTGCCATAACGAAAAATGATTGTGTTCATCTGTTTACAACACATACCCAAGCATCTTATTCTTCTGCGCCACCGCCTAACGAGCAATCCGTCGTAATTCGGCATCAGCAACTCGCGCACCTCCGAAAATTTATTGATAAATGTCTTGATGCTGCTAGTAGAAAACCCGAAGAACTTGTTCTCTTGGTTGGAGATTTAAATGTGAATGGGCGTCCACAATTAGATCCTCTGAATCCAGCTATCATTCAAGAAGATAGTGCTGAGTATAAATGTATGATTCGGATTCTACGTGGTGAAGGGATTGAAGCCAATCTCGCAAATCCAACGCTTGTCGACTTGGAAGAATTGCGTTTTGTCGCGCCTACAGTAATCAATATAAGAGATATTGTTCAAGAACGTTATGGGCAACATCCGGTCACATTCGGTGACGTGTACGTTGATTATAAAGGATATACTTATCCACGTGAAACAGTCTTAACTTCTAGTAGTGATTGGAAGACAACTGCTAGTCTAGATTATGTGTTAATAATTGACGAGAAGAATGATGAGTTTACATTGCATAAAAGAAATGTGGAAGTTGAAGTTCAGAAAACTAAAGTCGAAGAATTTTTTGTTGAAAAATCATCAAATCATCCATTTACACAACTTTCAGGCAGGTCTTTTGTTGTTTTTGAGAAAAAGATTATGTATATTTTAATTTTTTTTTTTTTAATGTATTTTTCTTCCTTAGATCATTACGGTGTGAGCACTGTATTAAAAATAAAAGATGTAAATTTATCTCCTTACACGCTTTAATATGGTTTACTATTCATTTTTTTGGACATTATAAAATTATATTGGCTTATTTATTATTTTTTGGGCATCATAAATTGGGGAGGAATTTCAATTATGTAATTAAAATATCCAAAATAAAAGCGAAATCATTTATTGGTAATTGATTTCTTACCACACTATTCTTATATTGTAGAACACAAAGAATCTAGTGAGCCTATTTAGCTATGTACAAAAGTAGGTCCACGCATTGCGGGCGCATTATAAGGATTTAAAGGATTTGCAATTGGTGGGCGTTCAATGCCAGGGGGAACTCCTTCCGAGTAAACGCCTGGACGATCATTCTTGAAGAAGAATTGTAAAGAGAATTGCTTTGAATCCGGATCCCAATGCGTAAAGAATTTACCTTCACCCTTGTCAACTTCTTTACTTTGAACTTTGAAAGAAATCGTCTCATATGGTTCAGCAGCAAACAACAAATATTGATGGGCTTTATTTGGTGGCTCTATACGTTGTTCATAGGCAGACATGAAACGATGTCGAGGTATAACATCTGTCCCAATCTCTGGATATTGAATCTGAAATAACAATCCAAGTTGCCGAGTAATTGGATCACGGACTTTTGTAACTTTGTACCCAGGTCGACCAATCTTGACCATGTTCTTTCGTACTTGTACTTTAGTAGCGGCTTGTAAGGCTGGTTGTATATTGTTATTTTCTTTGGCTTCACGAGCTGCACGACGTGCAAGATTAGTTTGGTGCTTTTTGCCTTGCGTGTGCGCCAAGTAGCTGCCTTCGTTTGTGTGAAGCGTCAAACATAATTTGCACTCATAAGATCCCAAATGATTTTTCATAAAATATGGGTCTTTGTTCAAATCAATTGTTTCTAATGCAAGTTTACGGAGACGCTCGCGACGATCGACATTAGATTCTGAGTAACCGGCTACACCTCCACTACCGACCTTTGAACCTTTTGAAATGAAGAATCGGAAAATTAATATTCACCTCAATCTATTTATCTATTTAAAGAAAGATAATGATTATACTTACCTACCCTGTTTTGGAAATCCATTGTGTCTCGTCTTTTTGGAGAACTTGTTTTATGATTTAAAAAAGTCGGAACTCGAACTTATATATTTTCATTCGACCAATCAAATTAATTAATTCAAACAATACATATACATTATATCACCTGATAGACTTCGCGCGTTTCTGTTTTGATTTATTTTCAGAGAAGGCAAATTCAGGCAAATTAAATTGAGTGTAGTAAAATGAAGGCAAAGATCTTTTAGTTTGGTTTTATTAGAGGAAAAGTCACGAGTTTATTCATTCTATTATATTCAGTAACAACTAAATTAACCATTTTTCATTAATAGAAACAAGAACAAGTTGCGTCTCGTCCTCACCAAAATAAAATATTAAAGAAAATCAACACGTATGAATCTACAGAAATAGTAGATATTTCATCAGACGATGATTTGATTTTTATGGGAAGTAAAAAAGCGATTTATGATCGAGTCGATATTGTACGTGAAGAAACAATGTAAGCTTAAGAATAAAAGTTTGTTTAAGTTCGCGTGCTCGTATGCTTACGAGAAATTTATTATGCCAAGACCTACGAATTCAGCAACAGCTGAATTTAGTAATAAATCACGCGGAGTGATAAAAGAGAGATTGATCGAAGGTAAATTTCGACTAATCATACGCTCAAGGTGATTTATATGTTTCTTTCCTAAAAAAATTGTAGTAACATTTAGGTAGACGATATCATAGCGCACTGAATGCCTCGATACAATTTGATCCTACCAAAACCGTATCTTCATCTGACACGTTGAGCTAGTTTATATTTTTGTATTTTGTTTTATATTTTTTCTGTTATCTAATTTAATTTCTGCACTTTACAAACGTACATAGAACATCGGATATTGCGAATAATATTGCGTTGAAGTTACAAGAGTACAATCAAGGTAAAGATCGTGTTGTTGAATTTGAAGTGGGACATGGGTTTTCAGAAAATTAATATCCTTTTTGAATATAGAAACAAATGGAACCATGCCATATCCTTATACATTCTTTTTAACGAATGAAAAGTAAGCAAATAATTATCTAATTATCTTCATTTGATTTTTTTTGATGGATCATAGGGGTGGAGAAATAATTCCGAAACTTTATTATTTTATAGTGCTCTCAAGGATACACTAAATTTTGAGCGTGAATTTGGTGTTTTATCGATGCGAAACTTCAAAGGTATATACATGCATTATGTATTACTTTCTGATTTTTGATTGCAACATTCATTGAAATTTATTACTAAACAATTTCCGTATATTTTGCTCGCTAGGAAAGATTGTACAGAAGGAAACTAGTAGATATACTGCACAGTCCGACTCAATAATTCCTTTTTCCGAGTTCAAAGCACGGTCTGACTCAATAATTCCTTTCTCCGAGTTCAAAGACACGTGAGTTATTTCACAATGAAAAACCTGTTATGGTGATGAAATCTAAATAAGTGCAAATCGAATTCTCGTGGTTTTTAGCGTTGAAGGTCCAATTAAATTATCTGATCTAATGAACTTTAAGAGTAAAGAAAAATCTGGATTATCACGGAATTCAGAAAATTTATCGAAACTATCAAATATAGCTACTGGCACGTTGTTCAGAAATTCGCAAAATTCATTCGATAATTTAAATGAAACTACAAGCAATATTGCCGGAAATTCATTATGTGAATTTGAGAAATCGAATTTCCTCGAAAAATCTGACAAAGGTATTATGAAGTTCTAATTTGAATATAAATTGCAAATATTTGTCATTAAAAGAAATGTTCGATTTAACACAAGTAACCAGTCTAAAAGTAATGATTCATCCATAGATGTTCACAATGATCTCGATAGCGGTGCTGATGACGAAGATGATGCGTGAGTTTATTAAATAAAAAATTTTTTGAAAATTCTTAATTAATTTATTTTTCTTTTTATTATCCCTTTAGTTTTGGTTTTATAACAGCACCTCCAAAGATTAATAGAAACTATCCTATTAATCGTACTAATCGTAATACCGCGAAACGTGGTAGACCTTTTTCTGGGAAAAAATCTTTTTCGAGAATAACTCGAGGTAATATTTCAAAACAAAATAACGCAGCTACTACGAGATCATTGAAAAACTTGAGCGGAATTAAGAAAGGAGAGATTTCTTTTGGCCACAGCCCACCAAAAACATCAAACGAAGGTAATTGATAAATTTTAATAAAAAAATGAATAATCTTTATAATTTTTTGAAAGCACCAACTATTTTGAATGACTTTGATAATATAGCTTCACAAGTCCTCTTTTCTTCCTTCTCTAATATGGAGTAAGTCATTTGCGAGTTATCTATGAATTATTAATTTATCATGCCTAATTAATATTTCGGAATGATTGTTCGCTACAGAAAACAAAAAGTAGAACCTGTTGTCGAAATATTTGTCAGGAATTCTCAAAAGAGATTAAAAAAAGGTACATTTATTTTTAATTAATGTTCAATTCGTAAACAGAAAAGAAATTTTCTAATCATAAAAATTTAGATTCTGAACAGAAATCAAATAGTTTCGAAAATGACATCATCAATCTCACAATCCAGTCTGATGACGATGACGTGTAAGAAAAGTTTTCAAATTAATAATGTATATACTCATTTTACTTATTTTGTTTTCAATATTAGTTTTATGATAGAATCTTCAACTGCACAGCAAAAAACAAATTCAGACAAAACACGTAACCAAAATGAAGGTAATTTCTTTTAAATATGATGAATATAGATTATTTTAATTAACTTAATTTAATATTAATTTTCAGAAAAAACTATTCAAATCGAATCGAATAACCCTACCAGTTCGTCAAGAAAATCCAGCGCATCACAATTTCCAGTAAGAAGAACACGATCAAATACAAAAATAATACAATCCACGCGAGCTATCGTAAGCTCTTTTCCCCTATCGAAAAAAATGCAACGTAAATCCCTCTTTATGAAGCCGGCCAACATGGAATCTACGGATCTTATTGACTATTTTAATTTTCCTGTAAAGGATGAATTAGCCTTTTCGCAGTATTTTGAAAAATCTGATATTAGTAGACGCAGACTATCAGGTGAAGGATTCAACCATTACTTACCAACACATGACACGAAGGCACCAAAGGATCAAAGTATTAATCCATATAAGTGCTTTTGATTTTTTTGTAGCTATTTATTTATATAAACTTGTAAATTATATTTTAGGGCTAAAGACAAATCATGGCAAAGATCCTCTTTGGCAAATCTTGGAATCATCATCAGATTCGGAGCAGGATTCATCGACCTCCGATAGTAGCAGTAGCAGCAGTAGAAGCAACAGTTCCAGGAAGAAATCATTCAATAAAGAAAACACACGAGTTACCGAGCCAATTGATCTTCAAAATATGCATCAAGTTATTGTGTTAATTGAGGAAAATCCTAATATATTAAATTTATTCAAGTGATTTTTATTTTGACTTGCCTAAGACCTCGGAATTTATTTAGTTTATTAAGCGTGTATTCATGAATTATTAAGAATTAAAAATTTGCGAGTCTTATGTTGATTAACTTAATTAAATATGATTAAGAAAATGTTAAATTTTTCTTTTTTATATATGTAAGTTATTGTAATTCTCAGTTTATATTATTTAATAATATGTATATATTATATATGTATTGTAGTATTAAGATATTTATTGAATAAAAAGATAGATTTATTTTGATAATTTTATATATAAAAATATTTTTATTTTATAAATAAAAAAAGATTTTAATAATTTTGTATTTCATTGTATAAATTGATCTGATTTTTATTATTTTTCTACTTTTATATTAAAATAAAAAAAATAATTTATATTTTTTTGAATTTTTTATTTTCATTTTAATAATAAAGTTATTATAAAATTTTTTTTAATTAAATTTGTAGAAGTATTATATTTTTTTAATATATAATCTGATGCAAAAAGATTTATATCTTAATAAAAAATTAATAATTATTTTTAATAAAAATTATTCAAATTTTAATCAATCTTTTATATTATTTTAATTATTTTATTATATTTAATTTAATAATATTTAAATTTTATAAAAATTAAATTAATAATTATAAAGATATTAAGATTTAAAACTTAATAATTAAATTATTTATTATATAATTTTTATATTAATTTTAATCAAATTTTATATAGTAAAATTTAAGAAATAA